GTAGATTCTCAAACCATTAGATCAATATAATGAAGGATCATAACACCTAAACTACAATCTATTTTAAAACATGACTAAAAGTGGGATAACCAGATGTTTTATGCTTCCAATAGACATACAACATGAAACAAGAACACCTATGAAGTATTCCTATGAATATTCTTGAGAAATAGAAATAACAGAATCTAAATTTAATCAAGCTTTTGGAGTTAACTTCTGGTTCACATGGAAACAAGTTAAGATGACACTACAAAAAAGAGCCACACCAATCCAGACTGTAGGACTTTCTCAAAATAATTAGGTTTCCTCATTAAGTCAATGGATCTGAGGGTGGGCATGAAGGGAGAGTACTACTACAGATTACCAGGGTCTTAAGAGAAATAACCAGATGTCATGTATGGCCCGAGAGGATATTCTGAACAAAGCAACTCTTAAAATACATTTTTTGAGAAAACCGGGGAAATTTGAAGATGGATTGAGTACTCAATGACATTAAGAAGTCACTGTCAAATTTGATGGGTGTGATAATCATATTATGGTTTGGTAAGAAAATGTAATTATTTTAAAGATATTATGGTAATGTTTGAGATGGCATGACATGATGTCAAGGATTTGCTTCAAAATACAATAGAAAAAATGATGAACAGATAAAACAAGTGTGGAAACTATTGAATCAAGATGATGGGAATGTAGGATTCACTATACTGGTATATGATGACTGAAATCTTTGATAGTAAAAATTTTTTAAAACCTACCATATGAATAACCCATTCGAAAATAACAAAAGCTTTCAGAAATTACTTAAAAATAATTTTAAAAGAATATTTTAAAGTTTACTTGTTGATTTTATGCATCACAAACAGGAAAAAAACCTCAATTTAACAGCTAGACAACATTCTATCAGAAAAATGCCAAAATATATTTATTTGGCATGAATAAACAAAGTATTAAAATACTGTTCAATAGCTATAAAGAATTTTTTTTGAGAATTCTGTTAACTTTGCTAAAAAGCTAAATTTAGCATCTAAAAATTACTAACTTTTCTCTGTATTTATCAACTCCACTACACAGTAAAACCATCTTGGGATCTTGAAAAACTACAAACTACTGGGACACACTCCTCATTATTTTCAGTGTAAGGGTAGGGCTTGGTGATTTCGACATGCAGAAAAATTTGAGAGACACTGTCCTACAGAACTACAGATTTACCTTTATGAACAAATGTTTGTTAGATCGGTCCTCAATTATCAATTATTTTGACATCAACAGATTTCCTATAAAAAGTTTTGTATTGCCTTTTGTTAAGGCCATATGAAGAAATGGATGACAATTACTTTATTCAACTCAAAACGCATGGAAAGCTCTAAAGTACTTTGTACACAGTACCTTCCCTAAATTTTTAAATGTAGACAACATGATCATGAAAAATTACTTCTAGCAATTTTTCTAAAAGTGATCCGCCCCTTAATAAATTAAATACACTTCTTAAACATGATAAAATGATCATAGTAACGACGTCTCAATTTATAATCTCAAGGATTTTTATCACCTTGTTCTTTGAAGTAGAATACGTGAATAACTAATAGTCTGCTGGATTTGTGATTATGTATTTAGATGTCAGATTTCTAATTATTTACAAAGCACTAGGTCTCCCTTCTTGAAAGAAGTACATTTTCTGAGACACTGAGACACGGTAAGCCCTAGCACTAAAAGAAAAAGAGAAGCCAAGTATAAATGCTAGTCTTGATAAACCATTATGTAAAATAAACCAATTAAAATGTATAATATTGATTCCAAATTCAGCCAAATCCTTAGATATAAAATTATACGAGGTAAAGTGAATTCCCTAAATATTTGCAGAAAATATTTAGTACTTGTGTTCTTACAGAATCTTCGAAATAAAGGGTCATCTATCAATTATTTCATTTTGAACAAGTACTGCTTGAGGAAGTCTCAGCAGGAAATGGATCAATACCATCAATACCAGTTTGCTGTATGTTGAAGTCACCTGACATTAAATATCATTGCAGGCAAATAAACATAGAAAAGATTTAGTTACCATTCCAGAGGGCATGACCTTACTAAAGTAATATTGGATGTTGCTATAAAGGGTGCCTGAAAGCTACTATAAAAGGCAAAATAGTAAGTGGCTCCTTATAAAGATGACAATATCCACCAATGTGGGGGAAAAAATTAACTTCATGTCCGATAAATAGATATCTTTGGATTGAGATAAATTTAAAAATAATTTTTCTATAAACTGGCTAGTGTAAAATACTGTGTGAATCAAGTTGAAGACTCAGCTTATATGAAATATGGATAACCTTAAAACACATTTTACATGTACATCCCAATAGAAAGAAACCAATTCAGAGACTTCTGTCTAGTAAGCATTTAAAAATTACAAGCTAGCTCATAATAAAAAATTAAAATAACCTGACACATTCTTATCAAATTAAGATCCAGTAAATCAAAAAAAATAATACTCAATTAAAAAAAAGTGGAACAACAGCCAGCCTCATGTACCATTCATATTAGTTTAATATCACCTTTCTAGAAAGAAATTTGCAGTAAGAATCAGGAGTCTTTAACACTTTTTTTGATTTAATAATTCTAGCTCTAGGCATCTAGTTTAAGGGAATAATTTGAAAGACAAAAAGTTATGTACAGGGTATCTGTCACATGCTATATATACTAATAAAAAGTATAGAAGAAGATTCAATGTCCAACAAAGGTACTTTCAAAAATATTAAAATTAGTTTTCAAAAAAATTCTTACAAAACAACAATTAGAACATATCACAAAACTGCAGTGTGATTTTAATTTTGTACAAAAATACATATTTACATAGAAAATAAGAGCAAAAATATTAACAGTGGTTACCTCTTGTAAATGATCAAAACTATCAGAGTCCATTCCATTATCTGATTTTTGAATCTTGTAACTCCCCTAACATTCAAAAAATATCTGGGGATACTTAAACAAAACCCAGTTATAACAAAATGCAAAACCACTGAAATAGATAAACGATGAAATCATTTAGTAAAAGGTGAATTCACATATTTCCACTACAAAACATTTCCTTTTTCCTTATCAAGCAAGAGTGCAGAAACAAAGATATATTAAAATAGTCAAAACAGAGCGAAGGAGATGACACTAGCCACATTTATTAAGGAGTGAACTTTACTCATATGCTTTTAGTGCAAAAATACACAATACCTGAAAAATGGATAATGAAAGTACAGAGGAAGACACAAGTTAATTATGCTAGTGCTTCATATTTTTTATGAGAAAAATGTTTTACTATTACTTAAAACAAAAATTTCATCAGGGCTATGAGGTTACAAGGAAAACAGTGATGAACTCCCTAGAAGAATCTTCATGACTTCTAACCTGTATTCCATCCAGAATCCAAACACACAGAGGCACATCTAACTATACCCAAATGAGCACACACACAAACTCCTTAAGAGTCCAAGGAACTGATTGTTATGGTCCTATGCTTGTCACTAGCTGGAATTTCTTGGTATTTTACCCTTAAATTGTTCAACGAGTTCCATGTGAATTTTTAAACTTCTCAAAAAAGAGACGTCATCTGCTTTGGTTATTTTAAGGATTAAATAATGTGACTGTACAGTGCGCCTAGTAGAATGCCTAGGACCTAGAAGCTACTCGATAAATGTTGATGTTTTCTCTTCTGTAAAAATCATATCATTTCTATCAGTAAAGAATTGAAGAATCTACAGTAAGGATTATAATCAAAGATCATGTATCACTGTCTCACTCTTGCCTTTACCTTTAAAATGGTACATTACGAAATAATCAATTTAAGAAGCCAAGTTAAGGGAGTAAAGGCTTAAAGTAGGCCCACACTGTGATAGAGATTCTGTCAGAAAAAAATATTACCAACCTTAAGACTCTGTTAAAGTCATGATAGACAGTTAGGGCTTGTGCTAGATGTGTTAGAACATTAGAATAAAGGGTCAGTTTGGTCTGAAGTCACCAGAATTAATTTCAAATGTCAACTGCTTCTCTTGTGCATTATGGTGTCTCTGTTCACAGATGTATCACTTATACTGCACTTTCAATGGAAAACACCATTGTTACATATCCACAATAAATATAAATCTATTTATAAGAATTACTTCATTATAATATGCTTTTTCTGACTGAGGGACACAAACTAAACTGTAAGAGCTAGTTTTTAACTCCTCAATCTTGGGTTCCATATGGACACTCTCTGATTTAAAGAAAATCTTACAAATATCAAATGTCAAGAATTTCTGAAACACAGCAAATAAAACTAAAATTTCATCCTAAGTTATAAATCACTCATTTTACTTACAAAGTAACATTTTCCCTTATTCTTCATTCCCTATTATCTTCATCTTTACTCCATCAACTAGTTGCTGCAAATTTTTGCGGTTTTTTTTTTTATGGGAGGTGACTCAAATCCATTGTAGAACAAGGTGAAATATAAATGACTGAGACAAAATGTGAATACCAGAATAAATTTTCATAGCGAATTCTTCGTTTAAATTGTTTTTTAAGAGACAGATTATAATATCATTGAAAAAACCCATATGACTAATCCCATTACATGTTTCACCTGTTCACTTTTCACCATTTCTGTGCAGTGCTAAATTAAAGCAATCAGAATTGCTAAAGACTAAAGAATATGCACAAAGACTCTAGACATAGACCAAGACAGTGTGTAATCAAGTTTAACGTGTAAATAACTCAACAGTATTTATCAGAGCTCTTCTTTTATTTTGACAGAGAAACTGAGGATGATGAAAGGAATATAGCTGATAGAACTGTAATTAACACTTTAAGCTTTTCTCCCAACAGCATTCAAATACATCATAAAAAAAAATAATAACCTAACACAATTTCTTAAATTCCAAAATGGAGGATTTATTATACTTACTGTAGTTTTAATAGGCACTTTCCCATTTGGCAAAATGGGAGAAAAGTGGTATAGACAATAAAAATCATACCTAAGAGAGAGGTCTCCTTGGCAAATGCTGCAGCAATAGCTGGGTCCAATGCAGGTTGTCCATCCCCAGATGGAAGATCAGGTCGAGTATAATCCCTACTTTTATCATTGTTGTATTTTACATTCAAATTCACAAGTTTGGAAAAATCAATCCTTAGTGTACAGCAAGCATTATAAATATTCTGACCATCTAGGGCCTGTAAAAGTGAATAAAGTATATCAGCAGTCTTAAGGAATGAAAATCAGCAAGAAATAGGATTTCGACAATAAAACCCAATATTGAAGACCTGCACATAAAAGCCACCAGGAAAGGGACCAAGTATCATGCACCATTCTTCGTTATCCCAGCTGTACATTATTTGTTTCCACAAATACTATCTTCTTTAAATAGAAAGTGCTACTTAAATCTAAAATACAACCAGTTGAACACATTTGCTAATGCTTTTAATTCAAAATATCTGCAAATAATTTAAAAAAATAAACAAGGATGACAGTCCTGTCAAAGTCATACCATAATAGTCTGCATAATACTTTAATTTTATTATACACATTTTTTGCTGGATGGCAGTACTTAGAAGAATTGTTAGAATTTTGTAAGGTAACTTTTGTTTGATGACACATTTTATGAAGTGCCTCAAGCCAAGTAAGTATCACTATACGGCATAATAGCAAGTCCCATAAAACGGGGCAAAAACTATTATTTCTGTAACTTGAGGTGTTCAACCTGAATCAAAATAACTTGAATTAGAAAATCCAACATCATCCCAGGAAAGCTCTGGAATAGAAGAGTACAGGCTCTAGAGCTGAAAGTCTACATTCAATTACGTCATACTGAGCAAGTTACTTAACCTCTCTGAGTATCAGGATCTTTCTTAATCTGGAAAACAAAGATGGTAATGGCTGCCATGATCCTCACAGGTTACTTTGAGGATTAAACAAAAGATCACATATGTGTAAGTATAATGTGAGTTATAAAAGACCATGCTGCTGTTATGATTATTATGGTTTTTTTTTCCTGCTCCTATTATATAATCACAATTGCTACTCCAGCTGGATGTAAGCCTAGAAGAAACTAAAGAACAAGGGAATATATTAATTTTTCATTAGAAGAATAAACATTTACTGTATAAAACAATAGTTCAGAAATGAAGAATGTTTAGCTAAATCATCATGAAAATGAAACAAGTTCTTCTGATAATAGATCAATAGAGTAAGCCTGATGTTTACATAGACCAAGATCCATTATATGTATACATCTAGAACTATAGTACTTTAGTAGTAGACCAGCATTTTTTTTTTTTTTTTTTTTTTGCAGACTTTTGAAGACTGGACTGAAATATATATGAACCTTGGGACAAATTCAAGAGATTGTTGAATTTTTCCAACACTCACTAATGCTCCACTGTTAATCTGTTTTTTTATATAGCCTTCATTGTCTTAATAAGCATAAAAGTGTAGCAACTGAGGGGTGTCTGGGTGACTCAGTCCATTGAGTGCCTGACTTCGGCTCAGGTCATGATCTCATAGTTCATGAGTTCAAGCCCCATGTTGGGCTCTGTGCTGACAGCTCAGAGCTTGGAGCCTGCTTCAAATTCTGTGTCTCTCGCTCTCTCCCTGCCCCTCCCCTGCTCACACTCTGTCTTCCTCAAAAATAAATAAACATTAAAAAAACTTTTTTAAAAATGTGGCAACTGAACTACAAAGTTTAGAACCAATTCATTTTGTATTATACTGAGATATACAAGGATGACTGCAAAACAGGAAGAGATCTGTAGCACAGCAGGTGATGTTCCCCGCAAGTGCTAGGAGAGTTGTGACACAGTATGAAAGTTCTAATACCTACAATGTGCTATACACCGTGCTATGTTCTAGGAATATATGTTCTAGGAACAAAGCAGAAGAGCCACCCACTCTTATATAACTTATAGGAAAACAAAATATAGACATCTCACAAGTAATTACAAATTTGATGTGTGGTAGTGAGAATAAAGGAAGGGATGTGATGTAGCTGGAAGTTTACGGAAGACTTCTCAGAGACTTCTAAACCTGAAAGAGGAAGACAGGTAGAGGTGGACATAAAAAGACAAAGAGAAAGCAGTAGAAGCAAATGAAACATCAGGTTCTAAGCCTGAGAAATCAGAGAAAATACAGCATATGCAAGCTATTTTACAAAGTCCAATATAGTTGGGGTGCCTGGGTGGCTCAGTTACTTGAGTGTCCAACTCTTGATTTCAGCTTGGGTCATGATCCCAGGGTTGTGGAAATGAGTCCCGTGTTGAGCTATGTGCTGAGCATGGAGCCTGCTTAGGATTCTCTGTCTCCTCCTCCTCCTTCTCCTCCTCCTCCTCCTCTGTCCCACTCCCCCACCTACGCACTCTCTCTAAAATAAATAAAAGGAAAAACTTTAAAAAAATTCCAATTTAGTTAAAAGAGGAGAGATGAGATTGGAAAGACAAACACTGAGGATTGCTTTAAAGTTCTGTAAGCCATGTTAAGGGCTGAGAAGTTTATACTAAGGACAAAAGCCAGTCACTGAAGGGCACTGAGAATAGAAGTAATAGGACTTTATGTTGAATCATCCTTAGTGCTCGGGAGAAAAATAAGTGTAGGGGAAGAACTCAAAGTGGTGAGGTGAGTCAGAGGCCTTCTGGGATTCTGGGACTAGCTGTCCAAATCACTCTGCATGAAAAGGAGTGTGTCAGAATCTGTATTAACAGCGCACTAAACACACTACTAGAAGTATGCTGACTTGTATTTTGGCAAACGCTCCTGGTACCATCAGAGACCAGCACTTTGAATAACACCTGGTTTAGACGAGGGTGGTGTGCAAGAGAGCTGGGAGACAAAAGGATAGATTCAACAGAAATTTAGGATGAGAATAAGATTTGGTGGTAGGATGAAAGGAAGAGGAATAAAAGACATGTTTTTCTGGCTTGTTACTGACATGGAATTCGAACCCTGAGCTTTTTACTGACACAGGTGAGGAAGGGTTTGGTTTTTTGGGGGGGGGGGGGTGGGAAGAAAGGCTGAGTGGGTAGGTGACAGGAGCTGAACTGATCACACTAAGTCTGAAGGTGCATAATGGTCCACTAAGTTCCTAGTCTGGGTCTCTCAGAAGAGATCTGAGCTAGAAAGAGCCACGTGGGCAAGTCAGAGTCATGAAGGTATAATTGAGCTATGGGAACAGGTGAAGTCCCCCAGGCAGAAAGAAGGGAAAGGGTATGATGAGACAAAGAGAGGTGGAACATATCTAGGCAAGAAGTGTTGAGACCAGGAGAAGAGAAGATTTTAAGAAAGAGAATGGCTCACACTGTATCAAAGGTACCTAGAGGGTAAGGACTGAATAAGGCTGGTGAGATTTACCTACTGTAGTGATCCTGGGGACACTGGGAAGAATAATTTGAGTAAATCGGGGCTGAAACCAAATTATAGTAGGTGAGGAAATAAAAAGGGAAAAAGTATACACAGCAAACAAAGAGAGCTTATTTAGTAGGTCTGGCTATAAATGAAAAGGGAGAAGAAAGGATGATACATATGTGGAGTTCAGGGTAAATTCACTCAAATGAGAGAAATTTAATGATGCTTGTGACACTGGTGACAAGTAGCCAACACAGAGAAAAATGTAAGAGAAAGAGGGGATGAACGATAGTGCAAAGTCTCTTGAAGGGGAGAAGAAGACAGGATCTGGTGTTTACTTGTCCTAAAGTTATCTATGCCTTTTATTAGAAGAGAACGATAGGTGTGGTATAAGTGGATTTTGTGAGAAAAGCTGATGGGAGTTTCCATCTGATACTTTCTATTTTTTCTGAAAAATAGTAGGCAAGCTCATAAGGAGGAGTGAAGAGAGTTGGTAGACTAATTTTCTGATACAGTCTTTGTGAAAAATGGGACAGCATGCTGGAGAAATGTGGTGACATTTGTCAAGCAGAATAGAGGGCCTATTTGTAATTAATGCTGATAAACTTCAACTGGTATCAACTGCTAGATTACAGGATATTCTCTAGGTACACCCAATAGTCTGGATACAGGCATGAAGAAAGATTACTAGAGTCATCAAAAGTATATGTTTTAACAAGGAATCTGGATTACAAGATAATGGGGCAAGCAAGTTCGGGAAACGACCTCTTTTTTCCTTCTCTAATAAGTGAAACAATGTTCAGTTCAGATACCAGAATAGTTAAATAATGAATATTAAATAATTACTTAATAACTCCCTCGGAATTACAACTGTAGATCTTTGTAGAGAAGACATGATTGAGTGTAACCCTCACAAATACTTGATGCTTATTGTCCTACACAGACGACTGGTTAAATTTAAACCTCAAATATCTGATAACATAATTAAAGTAGAATCTTTTGTTCTCATTACTATAGATTACCTCAGACAAAACACATAAACTACTTTCCCCATTGGATTATACCCCAAATGCAGTGTAATTTCAAATTAAATTCCATTCCATTGCCTTCTACCAAATACTCTCCCCTCTCCATCAGAAAGGATGACAAAAAATATTCCATATTAAGAAAAACATGCACTATATTTAAATATTTGGAAGCTGTGAGAAGTGCCATAAACATCCTGGCTTCTAGACCGTCTGCTACTGATCAAACCTCATACCACATGGATTTTGGTTACTCTTTAAATATAAAATATCTCCAAAGTTAGAGGTCAGGGACATGTAAAGAGAAATCAGTATTTTTGGAAAAAAGAATCCCAAGTGTTAATGTATGCCTGAAAAGGAAAATATAATAAGATTAGATCATGTAACTTAAGAACAAGTGAGTAGCAACATACTGGAGAAAATCAGACTGAAAATATGTCTACCTTACATATAGTGAACATTGTAAGTAATTTACCTCTTTAAATATTAGCATCCCCTTGTAACACAAGAATAATTCCTGTTCTGTTGACTACATATTAGGAAAAAAACGAGATAACAGCACTTGGTAAACATTTCAATTATGCCAATATAAACGGTATAGCAAAAATATCTGAAGCTATTTTTGCTCCCCAAATGACATGCTGAAGTTGGAAACACAATGAAACAATCAAAAATGGTCTGGGTTCAATACAATCTATCTTGATCTAGAGGAAGCACTGAAGTATTACAGACCATAATTATTTGAAAGTATGAGTAAAAGGGAAAAAAAAAAAAGAGGTAAGACAGAAGGTAAAGGAAGAGAAGACAGCTGATGTAATGGTTTAATAATGAATATTTAATCGTTTAACAACAGAATAATAATCACAATGAGATAACACGGCACAAGACGTTAAAGAGCTAGAGCAAAGGTAGATTTAAATACGATACACAAATAGAAGATTAAGGCAGTTGGTAGCAAAGATATGATATGCAGTTTTCAATAGTGGTCATGATATGGGAAGATATTTTACTTCTTTTAGTAGTTTCTTATCCTCCATATATAACAACAAAAAAACGTAAATTATGTGAATAAAAAGCAGATCAGGAATCTATTCAAAAAAGCAGTCTTAAAAAAAAGGCTTTAAAGAAAGTATTAAATATACTGTAGTCTTAAATACACTGAGAGCTTATCATAATATCTGAACCACATGTGTGATGATTATTTCAGCCCAAGTGTCTTGATAGCTAAATTAATTACTCTGAAACTCCCACTGGAAAACACTCAAAATCTTTACTGGTGTTCATGCACAATATATCCTGCCATATCCTCAGGAGCATAAAACTTTGGACCTAAATCAAAAATGGACAGTAATAGAAATCAATATTATAGATAACTATAAATAGAACTATCCTTAGAAATAAACATTTCTATCACAAATACTAAGCTTTTCTAATTGTACCTAAATGACACCAATTTGTGCCATCTACAATGCTACATGGTACTGCCAAGTTATGTCCATATTAGTAACATCAGCAATATATGTGTTTATGTGTACCCACCATTGAAAAAGATCACTATCTATAAAAAAAAAAAAAAAAAAAAAAAAAAAAGCAAGCTCCAGACTTACTAGTTTTGCTTGTTGAGCATTTACTGGATCACCATACTGGAGAAGAGCCTGAAACTGGTTATTTTTTGTAAATGTGATGATCTTCAATACAGCACCAAACTTTGAAAATATCTGTTAAAAAATTAAAATCAAAATATTATTTATCTACTGTTATCTTTATTTCTCCAATTTATAGGTAAACACGAAAATTAAGTTAAACTTACTTGGTGAAGAACATCAAGTGTTACAGGGTAGTACATATTGTCAATAATTATTCTAAGCACTGGACTCTGGGCTGGAGTCACTGCACTCTCACTAACTGTGGTGCCACTAAGAGGCGTATTTGCTGTCTGGACAGCTGTCACAGCTTGAAGAACTGCTTGAGCACGCTGAAAATTAAAAGATAAGCACTTTAGAAACACACTCCGTATTTTCATTTAAACTTTGCTACATGTTACACTATTAGTTCATTTTTTTCTACAACACACACAGATTAAACAAAATTTAACAATCATTCAATAAATACTTTGGAGCTCCTACCATGAGCCAGGTATTATCGGTTTATAATTCAAGTATCCTACTGGTATTTACTTCAGAACAATTATCTAAGGTTTGGGACCTAGATAATTGAACAAACGAAGAAAGGCAACGTAATTTATTTTCAAAAGAACAAAATATAGTTTGGCAGATTCATAACATCAGAAAATGTTTTAAACAGAAACTTTTAGAGAATAAAACTTCAACTTAACATTATTCACTCCATAAAAAAGGTACCCAGTAAACCTCAGCAAGGGGATTACCAGATTATCCAAAAGAACTCCTGTAAAGTTTATTCTTTCTAATACAATCTTAAAGGAGGAATATTCAGGACATATATTAAGTCTTTTTCATAGTAGCATAACTTCTAAAATACTACTAATTAAACCAGACAAATCAACGACACTTAAGACACATCTTAATTTCTGAGATTTTAAAATGTGAAAAAATATACATACTAGAGTATAACTACTATGATAGATTCACCAGTAAGGAAATAGTATTTCTACCTATCTGGGGTCAAAAAACCTACATAAAGGCAAATAATTGTTAAGTAACAACAATAAATAGTACTACATTGTTTTACAGTTTGAAAAAGCTGTACTGGCAGATGAACAGGAATATAAACTGAGCATGATATATGAAAAGGAAGGCGAACACAAAAGATAGGAGAATAAACAAAACTGGTAACTTTGAAAGCACATATACTATGGTAGAAATAATTTTGCAATCCGTGTGTCAAATCAACACAATATATACCTTAAACTTACACAATATACCAATTTTTATCTCAACAAAGCTGCAAACAAAAAAAAAAAAAGTCATTTCATTGACATGTCCCATAACCAGGAGATCACGCAGTTTGGAATTCAGAGACCACATGCCCATCTGGTCAAAAACCTCATTATTTAAATGCTAATTAAACAATAATATGACCTACAGATCTATATATTGGCTGAGGTGACTTCAAGTATTTTAAGTAGTGTACTGCAATATTACTTCCTTCACTAGTGAAGCATGTCCTTACATACATTTATGTTATTGCAAGCATGGAAATATCACAACTTAGGAAAATACTAACATCTCCTAGTTCAAATAATGGAATGTCTTTTTAAAACAGGAATCACATGATATACTATCCAAATGGAACAAAAGGTTAAAAGTTTCCTCTGCAACCCTGTCACCCTGTATCCTTTCTCATACCCATTCCATACCGATATTATCATGGGTACCCTTCCATATATCACCTAGGTGTGTGTGTGCGGTATGTCTATTACATACCTTTCCCCCCAGTACTATTCACTTTTCTCCATCTTCTCTTTTTAGCTTAGGTTTTCTACTATCATTAACAAATAACTTTCCATATTTTTTTTAACTGATGAAACAGAGTTGGCTTGCCAACAAAGATTTTAACTGAACTTGGTGAACTATTACATATACATATAAAAGGACACAGATCCTAAGACTATACAGCTCAATAAAACACCACAAATTGGACATATCTGTAAAATGACTAGATAAAAATAGAGCATTGTCAAAACCCTAGAGGCCACATTCATGCTTTCTCCCAGTTATATAAAATGGCATCATATGTGTTCTACTTTGGTCTGGCTTCTTTCACTAAACATTATTTTTATGATATACATCTATATTTTGCAAGTATAAGTAGCTTGATCATTCTTTTTGTATTCTAAGAAATTCCAACAAATGAATATGCCACAACATATTCTACTGCTGCTGAACATGTAGATGATTTCTAGTTTGGGACTATTATGTATTAGTGTTCCATGAACTTTCTCATACATATCTTCTGATGCACATATTACATATTTTCTCAGGTATGTAACTAGGATAGATTTACTAAGACAAAGATTATGTATATGCTCAGCTTTACTACATATTTCAAGTTTTTAAACATAAGTCTACTGATTTACATTCTTAGCACGTATATATGAAAGTTCCAGCTTCCCAACCTTGTTACCAACATCAGGCATTACCCATCTTAATCATAGGCAATCTGACACAGTACATGGTAGTAGCTCAATGTGGTTTTAATTTATGTCAAAGTTTCTTTTTTTTTTTTTTTTAAGTTTATTTATTTATTGAGAGAGAGAGAAAGAGAGAAAGAGCATACACATTCACATGCTAGCAGGGAAGGGGCAGAGAGAGAGGGCGAGAATCTCAAGCAGGCTCTCCACTGGCAGTGCAAACCCCAACATGGGGCTCAAACTCCTGAACTGTGAAATCAGATCCTAAGCCAAAACCAAGAGTTGGATGCTTAACTGAATGAGCCACCCAGGCGCCGGTGTCAAAGTTTCTTAATGCAAACCTCACCCACACTGTGGATCAAAAGATGGCTTTCTAGAGGAAACTAAAGGGAGACCTGAAGATGTCTACCAACTGGCCATGTGAAGTGTGGGTTGGAAAAGTGGCACAAGGGTAGGCAGGCCTTAATATTCCAGGCAAGAGTGACATCACAGAAACATACTGGCCTCAAAAGACTGGAAATAAGAGAAAGCATGCCAGGTTGGAGGATTTACAATTACTTTTGGGTAGAAGCACAGGGAAACATACAGCCGTAAGACAGAAATAGTAACCATCTCTTCTGAAGGGCTTTATCCTGAGCATGAAAAGGATATGGCTGCAGGAGAGTAACTAAAATCAGATTTGTCTGTTTTACAAAGGTATATACATACTTAGGGGCACCTGGGCGGCTCAGCTGGTTAAATACCTGACTCTTGATTTCGTCTCAGGTCATGATCTCACATTTCATGACTTCGAGCACCACATGGAGCTCTGCACTGCCAGTGTGGAGCCTGGTTGGGATATATATTCATTCATTCATTCATTCATTCTCTCTCTCTCTCTCTCTCTCTCTCTCTCTCCCCCCATCCCTCCCCTACTTGCACACACTCTCCCCCACTCCCAAAATAAATATACCAACTATTAAAAAAAAGATATAAATATATATATTTAGAGAGAGGGACGGAGTGGGGGGAAAGAGACTAATAGGGAAGGGGAGAGGGGGAAGTGTAGGGGAAGGGGAGAGGAAGTACAGAGGGAGAAAGAATTCAAGAGGGAAAGCAAAAAAGCAGATCAATAAGAGAGCTGTTATCACAGTACAGCCAAAAGGTAACTGTGTCTGAGCTACTAAAGTAGCAAGAAAGATGATGAAAACTAGGCAGATATTAACAAGAGTGAACTGGTAAGACTTGGTAATTTGAGGAAGGATCATGGAAGAATTCAAGGTTGACTCATATTTATTGGACTCTCTTCTATTTATGAAAGCCCAGAAAAATGCATATAAATGAGGTGATGGGGATTAAAGAGTACCCTTATCATGATAAGCACTGAGTAACATACAGAATTGCTGAATCACTATATTGTACACCTAAAACTAATTAACACTGTGTTACCTACACTGGAATTAAAATTAAAAATAAAAATGCCTATAAATTAATACAACATGGAATAAACCCAAACACTGAATAGAGAGAATGTCCTCATTAGCATAGAATACTTTTAGCAAAATTCCTGGAATGCAGAAAATAAATGGAAACAAATGGGAACAAAGAAAGCTTAGTGAACACAGAACAAACAGGGTTTGCACTGTTAACCACCACATTATGTCAGATTAGAAACTGGCAGAGTCCTAGGACGAAAATCAAAGGGTTAATGGAAAGTCTGCGTAATGAACAAATTCCTCTTTCTCCCATTTCCTCATCATCTCTCTCCCTTATTAAAAAAAAAAAAAAAAAAAAAAAAAATTCCTCCCTTAAAAGAAAGAAATTCTAAAGAGAGTTTTACAGGCCCAGAGTAAGGACCTCTTTGGTATTTATGGGATCCCAGCTCAGTGTCCAAACTCCTTATTTTACTCTACAGGAAAGCATACCAGTCCAATAAAACCTAATTGTCCATTCTAAAATATATAAACACAACTGGGGGGAGGAAGACAGATGGACAGAAGATAAACATAACAGCTAACACTGAAAGAATGAGATAATTTAGATAGAGTGAGGTATTTTTAAAAATACTATTAATTAGTAGTATCCTTAAAAAAATTGTGAAATCACAAAACACTGACCAATTGTAACCTAAAAAGGATTATCAAAAAAGATTAAAGGGCTTCTGAAAATTAAAAATACGGCTGCAAAAACAATTGTTTTGTTTTGTTTTCCCAACACAAGCAACTGTTGCATTGATTGTTCCCTATGTCTGGAATAGTCCAGGCCAGAATAAGTGTATTTATTTCCAAATCACTTTGAAGTTTGTTACTGAAATGTCACCTGTTCATGGGGTTTTCACTAAGTATTCTATTTAAAATTATAAATCCCCTTCCCTTACATGCATTTGTCTATAGATGCCTTATCTTTTTTCATGTTCCCTGCAATGGAATCTTTTAAAATGAGAATGCATTCACAAATTACTTTACTAAAAATACTAATATATAAATAAAATTGAAATACTGAATGCCATTTTAAATTCTGAGTAAAATAAATATAGAATATCTTCCTTTGGCATATTTCCTCATGATAAATTCCTAGAAGTACAATTTCTGGTTCAAAAGGAATGAAAATTATTACCAAATTAAAACAAAACCCAGCTGAAAATTCAGCCTTGTCTTTAGACAAAAAATTTTAAATATTTGTTTATCAACTATCAAAATGATCTGGAAAGGTCAGTTTTTATGAGGGTTAAAATATATGAGGAATTATTTTCCATTACATTTTCAGTAAGACAAACAGCCAGATAGTTTATATTTTACTGAAACATAAAACATATAATTAGCTAAAAACTGTATTAAAAGAGCTAAAAGACCGTTCCTTAAATGCTATGTTTTTAGGTCTAAAATCATTCCTATACTATTTAAAAAATATATACATATTAATTTTAAATAATTGGTATCTGCTACATCACACTTAAAAAAATTCAATATATTCATATATTCTCAATTCTTACATTCCCAAACACCCCCACTCCCACCAGAAAACCATTCACACATCTTCAATAAAAATATTTCCGTAAGACCTATAGGTCTTAAGTTTCTTATAGAAATATTTTTATTTCTAACATTTTTATTTCTAATTTTAGTTATTAATAACTAAAGGTATTAAACATAGCTTAAAACTCTAAGCAACAGACCTATACAGTTTACGCTAATAGTAAGCCCAATCTCATGTACAGTTTCTATGCAAAAATTTGAACTTGCAACATGAAAATGAACATTTTGACTAGAACCTTAAAGCTTTGAAAAAATATTATTTACTTCATCAAGTACCAATTTAAAACATGCACATAATAGACTTCACATACATTTTGTAAATTAACATAATATTTAATACTTAGGGACATACTGCAAGAAAATGTCTTTAAAATAACAAGAAAATGCCCACAGCTTCTGAATGGTTAAAAATTTTTACTTTCTGTTAATATGTTTCAGACTCTTAATATGTCCTAGGCCATTTTATTTGTATACCTACACATACTCACTTGGTTTAATGTATTATCTGTTTTTAGTTCTTTGTGATTGGAGTACTGGATATAAATTGGTTGGTTACGGAGATGAGGTGTCACAGCAGAATAGTAATTAACCATAGTAATAGCGGCTTCCTCTGTTGCTAGTTCCAAAAAGGCCTGAAAATTTAAATAGCAAATATTTTAATACCATGAATTATATTCAAATAAACGTAAGTATCTGTGTAATATATTCAGTTAATGAGAAAAATCAGTACAAGACTATAACCTTCCCAGTTACATTTAGATATTCAATAAGTTATCCTTACTTATCCTTATTTTCCATATACCACAAATATAGTCCCCCAACAAAAGCTAAAGAAAATAAAATCTAAACGTTTTCTAACATCAGAATTTTACCACTCTTAGAGACATAAGAAATCTCAGTCATTTTTAAAGCAGTATAACTCAAGAGAGAAAGAAAAAAATTAAGAATTAAATATCAGATTAGTGACATTCATTATATTTAAGAGCATGTTAAATTTCATAAGTTCTTCTAAATGATATCATTAGAAATTTTAACGCAAAATTTTAATATGCCAGGGCACCTCTGCAACAGATACATTTATTAAATGAAGAGTTATCTAGGATTAATGACTATTTTCTTCTAATGCTATCAGATAAACACTTCCATGAGATAAACTTAAAGAAGATGCTACTAGTATCCACACTGTTTTCTGATATCAAAGCCACAATAAAAGAAATATTTCATTTGTATTTTCCACAATCTCATTATAATAACTGTTCAATTAGAGTCCAAAAGTGAATTCAAAAGGCGAAATTTAAAACTACAGTAACTCATTCATTTTGGCTCCCTAGTATTAATTTCCCAAACACCATTACCAGGAAAAGTCAAGAACTTCTGTCATGCTCTTTTACAAAAGTCAGGACCTACTATATTCTACCCTTTTATTAGGAGATAGCTAATTCACACACACAGGATAGCTTGGGGCTTAACAGTTTTGTAAGTCTTGAAAGAAGCATACCTGATTTTTTCCTTTCAGCATAAGGATGTTGGTCACTTTACCAAAAGGTAAGCCTAAAGCAATAACTTCAGTTTCTGTCACTTCACCAGGTAACTTTCGAATATGAAGTACACGAGAAGGAGCACCATCCATTTTATCTTCTCCTTTAAATTTTTTACTATCATTACCATTGGCTGAAAGACATTTAAAAAAATAGTTTATTAATTTTCCCCATTTGTGTAAAAAAAAGAAACCCCACAAAACAAAGTTTAAAAAAGAACTTAATTGATCCCTGGGTCACATTGGGCTCTGTGCTCAGAGCCTGGAGCCTGCTTCGCTTTCTGTGTCTCCCTCTTTCTCCACCCTTCCCCCGCTCATGCTCTGTCTCTCTCTCTGTCTCAAAAATAAACATAAACATTAAAAAAAAATTTTTTAAGGGGCGCCTGGGTGGCTCCGTCCGTTGAGCATCCGACTTCAGTTCAGGTCATGATCTCACGGTTCGTGGGTTTGAGCCCCATGTCGGGCTCTGTGCTCAGAGCTCAGAGCCTTGGAGCCTGCTTTGGATTCTGTTCTCCCTCTCTCTCTCTCTCTCTCTACCCCTCCCCTGCTGTGTCTCTGTCTCTCAAAAATAAACATTTAAAAAAAATTTTTTTTAAATTAAAAAACATAGCTGAGTATACCTGAATAATTTCTAAAAATTAAAAAACTGGGCTTTCAAAGGGAGAGAGAAAAATCATATCCACCAATTATTATCAAATAAAATTATGTTACCAATTAAGGTAACTACTGGGTAAATGTTTCTGAACAGAGTGTGTGTATGTATACACACACACACACACACACGTAAATAGTAATAAATGACAAGCAAAAATTAAAATGCAATTTCAGAAAGAAATTTTCCAATTGCTAAAGAACGCAATTATCTTACAATTTAATCATCTTATTACAGACTAACAGAAATACAAAAAGTGTGAAATATTGACTTAGCAAAAATTAGGGTGATAAGAAATTATTAATGGTTTAATTTGGAAAATATTGTACTCAAAAAGTGGAATCAAAGAAGGCAATGCTGTAAAAATAATCATGCAGTCAATCCACATGACAGCTTAACTACAATGAGTCTCTCCTAATTTACTAATATTATCACTTAATCCACCTAAGTATTTTGTCACCATCAACATCTATATAAAACACTCATGGACTTCATTAACTTACTGTTATTCTGACCTTTAAAATAAACTGATATATTTTTATCCAACAAATTAGTTACCTGCCTTTATTCCAAAGCCTCACCAAAAATAAAAGTCCTACTAAAGACCCAAAATTGGTGATATTTTATGTAAAACTGAAGGACTTGCTATCTATCCAATATTCCACAAGAGTAGTTCCTAATTATCTAAAGACTAAGGGATATTTCTGAAAATAACTAAAATGAAGGATCCTCAATCCACTGAGAAATATGTATACTCCACTTGTGTATAATTTTAGGTACTTCATGGTACTCCCCAAATCAACACTACCCATAAACATTATATATGTGTGTGTTGTGTATATATATATATTCAACAATATCTATAAAATTCTAAGATCAACTTGATCTCTAAGTGGCTTTAAAATTCACTTACACACTGATTCTTTAAGAGTTACTGAGTATCAAAAAAACCCAGTTACTGAGTGTCAAGAACATGTTTAGCACTGTTTGAGGCTCTGGGGGATACAGCAGTGAACAAAATGATCAGTAAGATCCCCAATGCTCTCTTACAGTCTAGTAGGAGAGGTGGACTAACTTACATGAACAAAATATCTCTTATAGTGATTAACTGCTATGAATAAAGCAAAGCAAAATGTTGATTAAAATGGACTTAGCAGAGAACTAGAAGAAGGTGGTGTGATAGTGACTTTATTGGATGATTAAAGAATATCTCTAGGAAATAATATGTGAACTCACTCGATAATTAACTTATTAAGTTAAATTTAAGTCCTATTTTATGCTAAGAGCTTTACTGAAGTTTATATACAGGAATGGCCAGCCAATGCCTTTAGAAATCCCCTTTGGATGGCTTTGTACAGAAAAGTAGTAGGCTCTGGCCTCTGGATATATTACCATGAAAATCTTGGTGGCTAGCTCCTAATCACTCCAGAAATAAGAAAAACTAAAGGAAGCCCTCTATACTTCATAACTAAGGAAGGTTTGTACATGCACAAGCATCTGAATATATTAGAAGGAAGAAAGAGGCTGAATTTTCTCTTTTGTGGCATTTTATTAAACAAAATCATGACTGGGTCTGTTAGCCGAAAATGTAAGTAAAGCAGGAATTTAAGGATACATGTAATACTTTAAGACTTATAATTGGCATACAAACATATACTCTTATGTAAGACTACAGCCATTTCTTGGCAAAGCAAACGGAGTACAGAATCCTGATAGTTTGTGTTCTCATTTGTTCATTTGTTGGAATAACAAGAACGAATACTTCATAATCCAATCTAGAGCCCCAGGAGTTATAGGGTATGGTATCAGTAAATTTCAGTTTTTTCCTAATTTAGTCTGTCCTTTTCTTTCTGGGGGAAAAAAAAGCAAAAAAAAAGTACATCACAATAAAGATACTATCTATTACTGCATACATAAAGGCTTCCCTTTTTAAATTATTTTTAGAATATGATCCTCAAAAGGTTAACAGCCTGCATTTTCCCATTATAAAGAAAATAGGATAGTTTATTGTTCTGGATTTGTCTTGGGTAATTCCTGGGCAGTGTGAATTGTGAACGTTAGTAAAACAGTTAAATAATATGGAAAGGTTGGAATCATTTTGAAAAGTCAAAGAAAATAACCTTATTTTTTGAAGCTACTTTTCTTCTACATCAATATTTAACATTCCCTGCAAATTAACTACATGCCAAACACTGTACAACTCTATAGTACAATCCCATTTATGGATAAGAGCTAGTTAAGTCGACCAAGGTCAGACATTAAGTAGTAAAAGACAAGAAGTAATAGAAAAAGACTGAAACTCAGGAAATAGGACTCCATGGCCTGTGGTCTTAACCCACCACACTACACAAGGATCCCAAAGACAAATATTGCATTATACACAATTGCCAAGAGAGGATCTGTCCTTTTCTTCCAAAGACCATCTAACATCAAGACTTACACTTTTGTCACACTCTGATATTCCCTCAGTTAGTTAATAGTTTAGAAGGGGTAGCTATTAAATATTCATACTTTAGTACTAAATATTCATATTTTGGTGTGAAATATTATTAAAGTTTTCATTTTAGATAATGAGACTATGAGAACATGAAATTGGGAAATAAGGACTTCTTTAATCATATGACTAAAGCATACTTTCATCTATAAAAACACTCCAGCCCTAGAAAAGAAAAAGGGCACAAGAAAATATATAGCCCTTAGCTTATAAAACACATAGGCCATTTATTACCCTATCAGAGAAGTAAGGAAGATTGGGTCTCTCTGGGTTACAGATCTAGGATTCTTCAAAGGCAAAGAATAATGTGAACCTCTTTCCATGATCTTTTCCCTTCCACTCCTCAAGTAAATCCAGAAACTTCTGGTTTGTGTATGTAAAACCAGTAACAATTAAAATGATTTCTAAGAACTTAGGCAACAACAATATAGTAATACTTTTATTTATGCATACAGGTTGTATATAAATTGCAGAAACCTTTAATATTATTTTCCATATATTATTCAGCCTTCTTAAAGCCTTTTGCTTAAGATGTTCTTCTCAAATTTGAAACAAAACAGTATGTAAAAATATGCAAAAACTGTTTCTATTTGAATACTTCCTCTGCCAAATTCAAAAGTGGTTTTCTACCACAATTCTAAAGTGACCATGTTCATTCACCTTTAATCAGTCTCTTTTTCCCCTTGACTGACCTTTGCTTTTTACTGGTGTTTATCACAGTTTTCACGTAACAGTCTCACCAAGATTCTGGGTAATTTGTTAAATCCATCCATGGCCAAAATACTGTAAGCCCTCTCATACTTACCATATCTCTGTTCTCACAGCACCCCTAACAATTCACATCTAGTTTTTTTACTTCCCTGACTCACTGTATAGTTGTTTGAACTTTCTGTTAAGCACGCATTCCCAGTAATGGTGGGAATTCCTCAAGCTGTACTGGCCCCAAAGTCCTATCTTTACTTGCTCATGTAAAACCTGGGTCTCAAAAACCACCTGCTCATTTAATTTGTAAATCTATTACCTCAGTCCCACTCATTCACCAATTTTCTAATTCTATACTTTCAACTGCATCAGCCTGAAGTGCAACATTACAAAACTTTATACTTCCACTTATTTATACAGTAGAAACTATTTAACAAAAGATAAGTACATTCTCATTCTCTGAAGTCTTTCAGACCCAACCATGTATAAAAAAGCATTGGTAGCATCCTTATCAAATGTGAAACTGACAGGAAAAGCAGTTTCAATTCCAATCAGTTTTAGTTAAGGCTTCAGGGCAAAGCATGTTATAAAAGCTGTTGGCTTTAGAAAAATAAAAAATAAAAATAAACCTGAGTTACGAAAAATGAATGCTCATATTCTTTACATTCCTATCTGGGAAAACAGAAAACCCAAAGAAGAATTAACCAGAAATGCAGGTATATACAGAAAGACACTTCTGTTATTCTGCTAGCTGTTTAGTCAGGTCCAACAGCCACCACACAAAAAATCTTAGATTTAATGTAAAAACTGGCTATAACTCTGCATTTTCAAGAAGCTGCACTGCACAGCCTACTTGCCAGAAGTACCTTACGCATGAGCTAGGAAAAAATAGAAGGCTAAACTAGAAGACTCATGTGCTAGAATACTTCAAAGCATTATAGCAAAATGAAATGGCATTATATAAAAATGTCTTCACATAAAAATTAAAATCTTGGGGCGCCTGGGTGGCGCAGTCGGTTAAGCGTCCGACTTCAACCAGGTCATCACGATCTCACGGTCCGTGAGTTCGAGCCCCGCGTCGGGCTCTGGGCTGATGGCTCAGAGCCTGGGGCCTGTTTCCGATTCTGTGTCTCCCTCTCTCTCTGCCCCTCGCCCGTTCATGCTCTGTCTCTCTCTGTCCCAAAAATAAATAAACGTTGAAAAAAAAAATTTAAAAATTAAAATCTCAAAGAATTCTGAGTAACATATACCAGAATCTATGGGATGATTTCAGTTTTTTCACATAA